CGAGAGACACGGAATAGGAAAGTGAAACAGTAATGCAGGCAGTTCGAGAGAGCCGTGGTGCTACTGCGATGCAGCAACCCGCACCAGCTCCACTTTTGCTAAACACCTCGCACAAAGAACATGCAAAGTCGAGCTGCACTCATCTCCCAAAATCTCCGTAGCATCGTATGCGTCGTCGAACGTGACCTCATCTAGCGTAGGTGAACCTGCTCGACGGTATCGAGTAAATTCAGTCAAGACGTCAATCCACCCACCTCCTGTAGTGGAAGCCATCTCTGACAACTCGGAGGCGACAAGATTGTGGTAGGTGATGTACTGATTCGAGGGAACTTTTGCCTTCGTTATCGGGTCTTTGACCGTACGCACCGGCGCAGATGCCTCGATGCTGCTCAGAACTGCTTTCAAGGTGTACTTAGCTTCAGCAGCACCGCGGAGAACGCCTCCTTTCACGACTGGCATCCCGTCACCACCTGAAGCGAGCTGCCTCGCTGCAACCCTCATTGCCTCAGTAGTCACACCTGTGATGTTCTTAAGTCGAGGAACAACATCTGTTGATACGTTGTACTCAAGCGTGTCGGGAAATGAGGACGCAACAAAGCAGATCACTTCCTCTGGAGAGTGAAATCGAATGCGCTGCATCACCTTGATCAACTCTACCCTCGCAGCCTCTTCCGTGTCAGGATCATCACCCGTCGTCACTTTTACCATCTTAAACTCAAAGAAAGCTCGCACCGTATTTTAAATAGTTTTTGAGGGAATGACCGAAGCGCTTTGTGTCTTCTTCGGAGCCTGAGGCTTTTGCACTTTCTCTTTTTCGGCACTTGACGCAGCCCTTTTGGGCGCAGCTTTTGCTTTAGCTGATTCAGAGCCTCTCGGAGCCTCTGGCGGGGTTCCTGATTCAGCAGGCTTGGCAGCTGATCCGCGAATGGACACGTACCGGGTTGTCCTCGGAACCACTTCACCTTCGGACATTTTCGCTGTCTGTCCTAATGCGAGGGTCAGTGTCTAGGATAAGAGGCTGTTGTACTGATGTCCTTTTTTCGTCGATCTTGAGCCAAAATGGCTAGGGTTTAGGGTTTAGGGTTTAGGTACCCATAGGCCCCTAAGTAGTTCCTTTTTGGGATTACCTTATAGGATTCTAAATATAAACCACAAATAGAAACTACGCAGGGCCCTATGGGTACTTCTAAGAGCCTTCCGGTCCTCTTATCATGTCTCACATCTACAATCTAACCAAAGAAAGTTTGACACATATTCAGCCATGGTGTGTGTCTTTCTCCTTCCTTTCTCTGGCTGTCCACCGACCCATCCATTCTTTGATCTTTTTGGAAAAATGGGTCTATCTACGCACGTAACGGACGGCATGTAAAGAAGGCTCGAAGGGGAGCACTGCTGGCAGCGTGCCACATGTAACACTGGACTCTTCGGGAAAAGCTACGATGTGGAAACCCCCGGTGTGCTCGGAGGAGGCCCAAGGGCGCAGGATGGTAAAGCCGAGCGCCGGCATAGGGGTAGTTCTCTAAATTAGGGTCCCTTTTGGGGTCCTTTTTATAAGGGTGCCATACTATGTTGAGGACCTAAAAAGGATCCTAATTTAAAGAACTACCCGTACAACAGAATGCACCAGAGAGGCCATGATGCAATTCTCGAGGCCCCGGCTGCCCAAAGTCTCCGCGAAGATGCCATCGTTGGTCCTTACGGTTTAGGGTTTTAGGGTCTAGGGCTTAGGGTTTAGGGGTTTACGGTTTAGGTTTTAGGGTCTAGGGTTTAGGGTTTAGCGTCTAGGGTTTAGGGTTTAAGCCCCTAAGTAGTTCCTTTTTGGGATTACCTTGTCGGATTCTAATATATAGACCATAACAAGGAACTACTTAGGGGCCTAGGGGTAGGGTTTAGGTTGAGCGTTTCCAACTCTTGCAGTTGGCTCTACCTCTAGATTCTAGATCTTCTGATTGCCACGAAAGGGACGGCTTTTAGACACCGACATCGTCGTGAATCCGCCTTAAAATTAAGGCCTTAGCAATCACAATGCGGATTGGGTATACTATCGTATCATTATATTCGATAAAGTTAAGGAATGGACATTTGTCCAGGCCCCTATATTGCCTATATTCGCATGCTTTACCGAAGCATGGGTGTCTCCACTGTAAACCAACCACCAACAACTCTGACAAGTTCTGCATCCACAGTGTGGATGGACAACAGCATTTTGAGGTTGCTTGCTAGCGAATATATGACAGAGCAGTTTCACTGACAATGGAACTTCGAAGAGACCAGTCAAGACGCAATGAGTAATGATTGCAAACCGGAGTTCAAGTCTAAGTATTGAACTGCCCACCCGGCAGTGCCAACCTTTCCCAAAAAAAACTCACACCATCGCCTGACTCAGCCAACACCTTGCCACACACGTTGCGAAGGCATGAAGTAATTAACCGTTATAGCCACCGTTATAAATGTTGCTTATGATTGCCCGCTTTTGCCTTGCGTTCTCCAGTGGCATTTTCGCCGACAGGTCCACGTACACGTGGTGCCCTGATATGGGGGTTTGAGTTTAAGTCTTTTAGAATCAGTTCCAAACAAACATCCACAACCCCTGAACCTCGTCCCTTGCATCTGAAAGCCTTCGCCACAAACCCCACAACACACAATCCCGCACCCCTGCGCGCACACCCCGACTGCACCCGCATCCTGAATGCTACCTGGGCAAGGGTGGAGCAATTTTGGCACCCAGCTATAATGATCCTAAAAATCGAACCCTATGTACGTCCCTGATAAGTTTAGGGTTTAGGGTTTAGGGCTTTGCCCGGTTATGCCCCCCCGAACGTTCCGTATAGGACCCCAAAACCCCTAAACCCCGATTAAAAAGCCCAAGTCACCCCCATAAAGGATTGTAAAGCCTTGAGGAATCGCCTTTCCGGTGTTAGTTTCCCCATGCTTCCCCTTTGGAGCTTAGGGTTTAGGGTTACTTGGAGGTTCATGGGTAGTTATAAGTAGGGTTATAAGTCCCCTAATATGGGTTATAAGTGTAGTTATCCTAATTATAAACCTACTTATAACTACCCATGAACGAACCTCCAAGTAGACCCTAAACCCTAAACCCTAAACCGAAAAGGAGTGATTCCTTTATACTGACTGCGGCTCACAAGCTGGCCAAGGCTCAGCAGGACCAGGCCATCAGAGGCGTAAGCGAGGCCCGTGGCCTCGGCTGCTTTCAAGGGCTTTGGGCTTAGAGTTTTAGAGTTTAATGG